GGGGTCCGAATGGACCCCGTCATAAAAAATTAATTTTAAAATATTTAAATAATAAATTATTATTTTGGAAACAAAAAGCCCTAACACTCAAAATTTTTCTATATTGATCAATATATGAACATTGATTATTACAACTTGTTTCTTTTTTACCACTTAAACTAAATGTAACAACTTAACACAAACTAGTATACTGAAGCTACTGAGAACAACAAACATGTTTCCATCTTTCAGTGTCGATTCTTACAAAATATTTGGGGTCTGTGAAGACACCGGAAGACTAACGCAGTGTTAAACAAAGATGTTAACTTAATCCTAAAAACATAGTTTGACAATTTTCTTTAAACGATATTTGAAATTTTTTCTATGTTTTGCATAGATCTTATTTTGATTATGGTTGATCAAACAATGTAAATTATTGCTAGTAGGTAAAACAAAAATATTTTAGACTGACTAGTTTAGGTGTTTCTAGCATATATTGAATATTCTGTATTTATGATAATAAATATTTTGTGATGTACAATTTGATAATGAGTCCATATGAAACACTAATAAAAGATTAACTTAATTCAGAAATGTTACTTTTTCTTGACGAAGTAGCATATAATTTTCATCAACGGTGTTAAAATCTTGCACTGTGAACATTGTAGATTGTTCTATCAGTTCTGAAGGTATGTGATAAGTCCAAGTTACCATTTTCTTGGTAATTTCATGTTTTTAATAGCTGATGGTCATTTTAGATAGTTTTAACTGTTCTTATAAGTATCATATTATTCCATTAAAACAAAATTTGGTTAATTTACAATAACGTGTATTCCTAATGGAAATAAGCTAACAAAATAAGTGTCCTGTCTTGTATAGGTTGTTTAGTGGTTATAAATAGACCTTAAAAAATATAACTGTTTATATGAATGTTTATAGTACATAGGGTTGAGTATGTTATATTAAAAGGACTTTAAATATGCTAATCAACAAGTCACATGACAACTACAGCTGACATAAAGTTGCAGCGGAATGACATATTTCATAACTATGTTTTGACATTGAATGGCAGTTGTAGGTAGTGTGAACCACCAAAAATAGATTGCTTTTCGGAAGATACTTAACAGTTGTTTCCAATGCAAAAGATATTGGGGATTTAGATGGGGATATCCCTTAATATCATAGGAAAACAAAAGAATATGGATCAACTTAGGGCACCAGGACCATATATAATAAAACCTGCAATAAGTCATTCTACAGCCATGGTAAGTAAAGTATGGAATTTTGTAACAGATGAGAATTCATGAACACGAAAGTCAATGGCAAAAGCCTTCCACATATCTCATAACACAGTATGCAACATAATCAAAAGGATTTTCATTGGGAAAAGTTACTCAGATCATGTATATTCAAGTTTTTTCCACAACATATCCATTCAACCATTACACATCTGAAGCAGCTGGAGAATGAAGCAGGTATTCATGCTATTCCATACAAAAAGTTACTGGTCAAGTCACCAGAAGCAGCACCTGTGGATCTCTGTTTGGAATGGTGTACATTAAACATGACAGCCTTTTGACAGAGTATTTTGCAATAGAGATAGAGCATTATTGGGCATAGAGATTTGTGCTGTAAAAATGTGATGAGGCCACCAAACTGTTTTAATATAACATATAAACCATCATTTTGATTTTGTCTCGATGTATTTTTCATTGACTTAGGTTCTGATGTAGTGCTGTATGGGTTTGGGGTATACGTGAGAATTTCTACAAGAGACTAAAAAACTCCATTTAAAAATCATTGAGTAAAAAAAAAATTAATACTGTGATAATATTTAATTAAATGTTATATATTTTGTGCTAATTTCTCAAATTTTAGTTGTGAACATTTTTTTGTACTCCTTCCAGAGTTGTAGATAACCTAAATGGGAAAAACAAAAAGACAAAAACATACGCATGTATTTTTTGTATATCATACATTGTGTTTTTTCTCTTAAATTATCATTGTCATATTAAAACACGTTTTGGTTCGTAGTCTGACGAAAGACTAAAGCATAAATTGAATATGTGTCTGTGTATATTTATTCTTGTGTCAGGTTTTGTCTTCTATGTCTACTTAACATTTGATAACTGAAATGTGTAGGAGGATGGAAATTCTTCTGAGCCTAAACGTCGTTTATCCATGGGTGCTGTGTTCTGTAATAGGCCCACTCTCCCAGGAGGTTGGAGGGATCCAAGGAAGGTTCTGGATCTTCTCTTGTTATGGGCTGATTATTTTTTGTTTTATTAACTGACATTTTCTGATCTGTTCTGTGTTCATAAGTGTGTGTATATGTTTTTTTTAATAATTTTATTGATATTTGTTGTTTGTTTGTATATTCTGGCTGATCATTGTTTTACTTCCTCTGCTTGCTGGTGTACTGACTAGACAGTTCTTGTTTTCTTGTTATCCACCTAGAATGCTCTTTCTATATTAGTTTATTTTTACTGTTCACCAAAATATTTGGTTCATTAATAGTTTATATATATATATGATGTAATTAAACCTTGAAATGATAACGTTGAGTACTTGAATTGAATTGTACAGTTTGTTCTAAAAATTAAAGAATGGTAACTTACATTATTAGTGATTGCTAAATTCACGAGAATCGTGTAAGCTACAAGAGTTTCGTGCTCAATTTCCTCTTTTTATTTCAGTAATAAAAGAAAGCGTTTTATTTCGTTTTCAGAAAAAGTTTAGATATAATCTCTAAACGTTTTGTACTTTTTTCAATAAAGTTTGAGAAAAAAAAATTTAATTTAGGTCCTTTATGTAAGTTTGTGGTTGATTAGTCTCAATTATCACAAAAATGTCATTTTTTAAAATTCATATTGTCACTGCACCCTGTTATTAGTAGTGTGCTTTGACTCATTTCTGTGTCCATGATTATTCATGACTGTACTCTGTCATTTGATCTATGTTATCAAATATTAATGATTACACTGTATCTTTTGTTATGTGTTATGCATTGTTCATAACTGTGCTATACCATTTGTTCTTGTTCAGACTTATTCATTACTACACTGTTATATATTCTATGTTCTGGAGCACTTGTGACTGCACTCTGTCACTTGTTATAGGTTATTGATGGTCACACACTGTAATTTGTTCCATGTTATTCATAACTGTGTTCTGTCATTTTTTATTATTTATAAATGTACTCTGTCATTACTAAATGCTTTTGATTACTTGTGTTTTGTCTTTCGTTCTAGAGTGCTTGTGACTGCACTCTGTTATTTTCTCAGTCTTTTGGAGTACTCACGAATGCATGCCGTCATAGTACCGTGGTTTGTTTTATCTTCTGGAATTTGAAAGTACTTCTGACTGCAGTTTATTTTAATATTACCATTTGTTTGATGTTTGGGAGTATTTTAATTTTGCATCATGACCTAGAGTGATGAAATAACTTATTTAATATTCCTGGTAAGTGTAGTCTTGAAATATAGAGAAAAATATAATTTTTTTTTTTAGTAAATTAAGTAATCATTACACGTATTTGGTTTAGCAGCATAAATAAAATATTAGTTATTGTTCTTGTGTTGAAATATGAAATATAGTTTAGTTGCAAAAAGACAAAAATGTTTTAAATTAATAAAATATCGAATAACATAAAGAAGACAGTTACTTCATACAAATGAGTTTTTTGTGTGGAAGATACTGTAATGGCTAATATAGTGATGACATTAAATTGTTAAAAAAAACATCCAAAAATGAGATCAAAGGCTGGAAACTCTTTAATATTCAAAATGTTAGGCATCACTTGGTGTATCGGTTTATCATAATGAAAAGTTTATTGTGGCAGGATTAGCTCAATTATTGACTTATCCTAGCAGATATGAATACAAGTATGTGAAAACATTGTTGTTGAGCCAACAATACCAAATCATACTATATTAAAATTAAACTGTACATCTTAGTCAGTAATAATGTGAGGATTAACAAGCTGGCTATGAAATAATAGTGTAGATGTCAGTAAATATGCTTGTTAAAAACATTTAATAATTGTTTTTGCTCTCACTGTTTAGAACACTAACAATGTTTTTGTTTTGGTAGTGATATCATCTGTTGTTTGAGAATATTATTTGACATGCAGTAGTATTAATTTCTAGATTCTAATCTAAAAATATTAACTCTTTTATAGATAATATAGACAGAGTATCCATATTGAGTTGACTTTGAAATGGGTTGCAAGTGACTATCAGACAAACACTTGTAAAAATATATTGGTGACTGTACAATCTACTTATGTAGCTCAAATATAGAGGATAACATTTCAAAAGTCTTCCACCTTTCATCTTCAGGCTTTCGAAACGTCATCCTCTACATTTTAGTCGCTTAAGTAAATTGTGTAGTCACCAACGTATTGTTACAAGTGTTTCACATTCAACTCAATTAACTCTTGTTAACCCAAGTTAAAGCACAATGGGCAATTTTATTGTGTTTAAAATAAGTTGATACTTACAAACCATCATTTAATTTAATCCAGCAGTAACTTTTACAAGCTGATGATTCAAAATTTAAGTCTCTGAATACTCAAATTTGCATATTTTCAAAAAATTTTAGTTTTGAACCTGCTTTCATAAAATCGACAGGTTTATTATAATTATCAATATATTTACGATGAAGAACAAAGCGTTACATTAAAGTATTTTGAAACTTGCTTGCACATGGTGCGAATATTTGGGTTATTTTTGTGTGATATATAATCAGTTTCATCTTTGTATTGACTAATATGCCAAATAACATATTAGTTTTTTTATGAACTGATATGCTAACGTTTGTGTTTTACATATTGTTTATTTCTCGTAATTTTGTGGAAATATAAAATTTTAAAAATAGCTTACTAACTATAGTAGTAAGAACTCAAGATTTCTCGTTATAATTAATAAACTTTAATTCAATCACTTGTGTTGTGCCACCCTTGGTAAGAGTGGTGTACTAAAAGTTTTGTTATAAACAATGTGTGTTGTGCTGTGTCGTAGAGCTTAATGGAACGACGTGGTTCCCGGGATGGTCGGCGCCCATCACTAGCTGAGCTCATACCCGACTGGCCGATCCTGCAAAAAGTGGTGATACGACAGGTTGGAGGATGTGAAATATTTTACTCTGTCAGTTTCCTTGCATCCTCCTTACTATCTGCTTCTCTTTCATTTCAGGACTGAATCAGGCCATGAGCTGGCTCTCCGTGTTTACTGTATGAATGTATGTCTGTCTGTGTCCTTGATCTTTGGCTTATCTGAAACTTGCATTCTTCCATTCACAGTTTTCTTTGGTAAACATTGGCTTTATATTCTACTTCAGGACTGATGATAATCCATTTTTATTATATTTTGAATTTATGCCTTTGCTATATCAATACTTATTGTGTAAAAAATATTACAGCGTTGTAGTTTACTATGTATACTGCTTTATTTTACAAAATTATGGGTTATACCATATGTGTACAGGAGAGGAGAAATGTGTTTATCATGGCAGTAGGTTAGCACTATACTGATTATAGGATATTATATGGTTGTCAGTTGAATCACTAAGGGGGTGCATGTATACAAGCATGAAAAACTAAATTTTATTGAAAGAAAAGGTTGAAACAAGGTCATGATAGGGAGGCTTAGAGAAAATTTATCATTTTACAGTTTTTACTTCTGAAGAAATTACAAACTTTATTTACCTGTATAAATATGCACATTTCTGGAAACACCTGTTTGAACTGCGTTCCACTAATGTTTCACTACATTGTCTCCAACAACAAGTATAAAAAGTATTGATGCGTGTTATATCTTCCAAGATGTATCGCAATGCTATACCTAAAAGCTTTCTTTCAGCAGTAATTAAATCCTTGTTTCAGCACACCTGCACTTAAAAATGATTTAAAACATCTTACTTTTAGAATATTTACCCATTAGAGTCCACAGATAAAAGAATTACACCCTATTTTGTAAAGAAACAAATGCAAGGCTTAAAAAAATATGTTAGTTTTGGGATACTGATCATTACATACATACGTGGTCAAATATTCTTAAATTAGTCATTTCAATAGGCTTACATCACTGGCTTTAACATGAAATAAGACTTTAGGGCACTGTGTTTAAACTTTAAATTTGAAACAATATGTATATAATAGAATTTGTCCAATCCACTTCCATACATTCATAACGTGCTCAGAAAACTGCATAAAACTGTATTTATATATATAAAACAAATAATTTCATAGTTACCTTATCTCTTGTAGAAGATTGGATTATGTAAAAATCGTTTTAATAAGATACGGAGCATCTGTTCATTCTAAAGAAGTTTTCAGGTTATTTTCAGTTAATTTGTCATCAAAAATATGGAATCCTGGTGGCAGAAATTGTAGAAATGTTGTAATTGGTTCAGAATGGATGAAAAATTGTACTGTATTTTCAAACATTAGCAAGTAATGTAATAACTTAAATGTTGAAAAATAAAAAACGAGACAAGTAATGTGAATTATTAGTGTATCTGTTTTAAAAATCTTTCTGCATACAGAGAGATTTATTCTGTGATTCTTGTATATTAACAATATAACAGAAAATTAGCAAGACAATTACAATGAAGTGTTTAAAATGTAGCTTATTCTTGAATGTGGTTAAAGTGTTAAAACATTTGTCAGTATTGAAGTTAAACTTTTTTGTGTATAAAACATAAAGCTTCTTTATAATATGAATGAATTGAAATTGTGGTGATTGTAAGTTCATGGTGAATTGAAAAAGAAGAAACTTTTATTTGGGCCAGGGGATCACAAACTCAACACTATATTGATAAATTATGAATGCGTAATATCTATAAATTTAGCTTACATAGAGAAAGATGGCAATATATACAGTGTATTCATACATATTACATGTATGATATTTGTTTTTGTTATCAATTTCTATGTTTATCAAACAGTGTGTTCTCTTAATGTGTGCCTTCTCGTTAAAGAACTTTAAATTATGATTTTTTTCACTGCTTGTTCTGTATCTTCTAATTATCTGCAAACATTTTCCCCCTTTTTTGTGTGCATGATTGTCATTTGTAAAACAAAGATAGAAAAAATATGTTGTTTTTTTCTTTTGTATGTACAGTTATCTCTGGGAAGTTTTTTTCATTCAGATTTATTGATCTACTTGTAGTTGTTATCTACAATATACAGCAAGTTATTTGCTAAATGCTACAGTATCTTCCTGTTTTGACAAAGAATTATATCACTTTGTATGGTTTCTCGATTCTCGTTACATTAATTTATTAGTTTATACATTGCATTTTGTTGAGTACTGTGTGCAAAGACTGAGCAATCAAAGTATCTGGGTTTCTCACACAGTATTATTATGCACTTAAAAGGTATATTCTCAGAAGTAAATCCAACAAGAACAACTATGATTTCTTAAAAAATTGAATATAGTAATATAAATGTAAGAAGATCTATAAGAATACCAAAAGGATCAAACTCAAAAGAAGTTTTAAAAAATCAGTGTGTCTTTATAGTCGTTAATTATTCTTGAGTAAGTTTTCGCATATAAAATTTTGTATAAACAATAAAGTTTTCCTGCTTATTCTGCCCATGAATCATTAGTTTGTAATTTATTGTATTAAACAGAGCACTTGAATTTGTAGGTTATGTTATCCACTCTGATTCTTTGAGGTGGTGGATATTTGAAACTTGTAATTTTAGTGATATATTACTATTAGAAAAGCTGAAATGTAGGTACCTCTTGAACTGGTAGTTGAGAAAACAAACAGAATTGATACTTGTATTTCAAAACCAGCAATCTTCTCTGGTAATAAGATTAGTTTATTCCAAGAGATATTAAAATTTTTGTTTTATAAGCAATAGTACCTACAATATAAAGAAAAACAATGTTATAGAATTAAAAAAAAATCTTCTTTGGCGACAATGAAATAGGAGCTTTTTACGGTTTTTGATTATAAGAATAGTGTCAGTTTTAGTTTATATTTTGCTGATTTTTGAAAACATTAACCATTATAAAAATGCCAGTTTCAGTGAAAGTATACTGAGATTGTGTTTTACTTAGTCCAAGTATTCCAATCTTTTTAACACTTTCTCAGTCTCTGAATGTAATGCAGTGAAATAGGAGCTTTTTTCACGGTTTTTGATTATAAGAATAGTGTCAGTTTTAGTTTATATTTTGCTGATTTTTGAAAACATTAACCAATATAAAAATGCCAGTTTCAGTGAAAGTATACCGAGATTGTGTTTTACTTAGTCCAAGTATTCCAATCTTTTTAACACTTTCTCAGTCTCTGAATGTAATGCATATCTAAATATGCTAGACTTTCTTGTGAGTGACACATAGAGCAAGTTAGTACATGTGCTATATATATGTTAATTTTATAAGTATCACTTACAATATTAAGATACAAATATGTGGTGAAAATTGTGCATAGTTTTGTGTACAGGTAAATGCATTTGCTTAAGGTATCAATCTTCTACTTAATGTATTAAGTTAAATATGTTTCTATATGTATGTAGTATTTAATTAAAAACATTCCAATATAGATGGAGCTTTCATCTGTTTTTAGTGTATGTTGAGTATTATCACACAATAGGGTTAGTAAATGTTTATTGTACTGTTACTAATACACATTTATTACTACAACATTTAACGATAACTATGAGAGGGTGAATGAGCTTATTTTAATGTGTAGTTGAACTTGTATGACAATTAAATAGGTTCCTATTTGTTTATGTAAAATAGATTAGTTTTTTAGGTAATGATGAGAAAATTATACGACTGCTTACATTGTGTTATACAAATTAAAATTGAGTATTTAATTTTTTTGATCCTCAGAAAGCAGATGCTTTCATCAAACCTCTCGTTAACGTCCAAGTCAAAGAGGGAAAGGACAAGATCGCACGTTTTGAAGCTGTCTTTAACAAATCAGGAGTGAAGGCAAAATGGTTTAAGGGCAAACAGGAGGTTTTCATGGGTAAAAAATATCACATGAGTAGTACAGGTGATCTCCATGTGTTGGAAATAATGAATCCAGTTGAGGATGATGGTGGAAAGTACACCATTCAGTGTTTGGATACTTCCTGTTCAGCAATTATGGAAGTGGAAGGTATAGCAGGAATAAATTTTATTGGTACTTGCACTTTATGTACGTTTGTGAAATTAAGGGGAATGTTACAAAGGTTTGATTTCTAACGATATGAGTGTTATTTTACAACTAACACTTTGCATTTTAAAAGCTCTGCATTTTTAATAATGTCTATTTCTTATGACTAGATGTGTTATAATATTGCAAGAGTACAGTGAACAGTTCTGGTGTTATTTAATTTTTCTTTATTTTGATATAACATTACTGATTTCAAAATTTGATGTTCTTTTGTTATATTTAACATTAGATAAATCTAGCCTTTAATATACATTTGTCACCATTAGTATAAAGTAATAATATACAGTTCTTAAATTAAGTTTTCCTGTTACTTGTAATAGAAGGTGATTTAAACTGTATTTTTCATTATGTTATAATTTCTAAATCAGAATTGATTAATCACACTTTATTAATCTGTTTTCACTGTGCATACATTTATTTGTAGTGTTTGATTTACTTGTGACTATAATTGTATAAAAGAGTATATATTTTGGTGATTAATTTTTCACCTTATGAAAAGATTATTTTATTAATATCAAAAAATGATATGAAAGCTTTATTGTAGTTGTTTTTGTAGCTAGTTTTGTACTAACTGATGCCACATCAATGACATTGCCAGTCTCTAAATGCCACTACAACCAGGGTCAAACAAAACAATTTATTAAAATATAACAACAGAAAACAAAAGTATAACTTTCAAACAACTAGAATACAAATTTGATCAATTCCAATAAAAACAGTTAGTAGACTTGTGCCTGGTCAGGACTAGATACAAATGTTAATAAACAATTCCAAATAAATCTCAATATTATTAATTTTAATAAATATCAAAGGAATTAGAAAAAAAGAACCAGAAGAAGAAGAAGAAAACCTGATTCAGGAAATACCACAACATTTCAGAATTAAACCACTTCTCAAGATCATTAACAATAATTAGCAATAATTCTAACTGTATTTCATACAGGGGTATCTAGAGCCAGCCCAGGCCCCGGGGTCAGTAATATCATCCGCCCCCCCCCTTCATTCTATTTATTAACTTTTGCTGATTTTTCATAAAAGAAATTTAGGTGAAAATTTTCTTCATGAATCTATGAAAAAGCAGTAGCCAGTTTAGCTCATTAAGTAGTGTGCATTTCTAGTGAGCTTTGGAATATCCCACTGTCGGGCCCCTCAACAGACCCTGGGCCCCAGGACAGCTGCCCCCCTCTCTCGTCAGCCCTGATTTCACGAACTAACTCATTGTCAAGATAAAGGAAGGCTTTTTATTTAGTGTTAGACCACAAGATTACATCTCATGTAACTAGTTATTACCATCAATTTACATAATCTTTTACAACCTCAATATCTGTACATCACTGCTGGGGAAACTGGTGCCAGTTTCACAATATGTACATACTCAAAATGAAGTGCTCTAGATAGAAGGTGAGCTAGAGGTGTAATATAATTATATAATATATTATATAATAATATAATTAGTTGAAGGGACAATAAATTAATGGACAAAACCATCAAAACTGAAAAGTAAAATTTGCTTTATCACAACATTCTATGAAAGAAGAGTTCTAAACCAAAACACCACCTATTATTTCTCTAAGTTTCACGGGTTGTGAAACTAATTAAGTTTTTATAACACCGCTAGATAGTGAGAAATAGGTTTAAAATATTAATATTTATTTCATTGCAGCAGTGCTATTTTTATTGATGACTCAGAGTAGTTTGTCATTTAGATCATAGTAATGGATAATTGTGTTGTAGTTGAATAACTTTTTTTTTTTGAAATACCCATGGTTTGTGTATTTTACTTCTTAAAATAGACAAATCATCAGATCTCTTTGACTTAATGTTGAGGGTTACTTATAATGTTATTTACAGAGCCTGATCCTGTATATAAGTTTGTGAAGAAGCTTCCTTCCAAAGTGGAAGAGTACACACTAAAAGAAACTATTCTTGAGTGCTCAACCAACAGCCATAAAGCTCCTGTCAAGTGGTTCAAGGATGGAAAGAGAATTGAGGTGAGATCTATTAAAATGTTAAACTTTGTAATGCTCATTGTTCAGGTTATCACTGTATACTGAAGTAACACAAATAATGTCAGTGGAAACAAATAGTTTTATGTTTAGTTTCTTTCACCTTGTGGTTGAAAATGTAATTAGATGCCAATGTAAAATATATAGAATTATAAAATTGGAAGCTTTTTTTTTTGCTTGTGTAACATGAGCACTATATTGAATTAATTTTTGTTATTAATTTCATTACTTACTGTTGGTTTAGTATATTTTCCCATTCATTTTTGTTGTTGAAATATTTCTGGAAATTAAAGCTTTAGAACTAATTTTTTTTATTTGAAACATATCTCCAGTTTATAGTAATATTTTTAAACATTTGTCACAAATAAGCTTCAGTCCAGTGCTTGTTAATGAAAATGTACAAATTATAGATTACTAGTAGGCTAAAAGAACACAATTTAATACATCCCAATACTTTTTGTCATTTTTTTGTAGTCAGGTGACAAGTTCATCATAGATTCTGATCTACTTGGGAGAAAAATTCTTAGAATTCAAAATTCCACACCAGAAGATAGTGGGGAATATTCTTGTAAGATCAATAGCCAGGAAAAGACTTCTACAAAAGTTAGAATTACAGGTTAGTTCTTTAGTTTGTAATATAAGATGATTTGTATAATCCCTGAACAGTAGGTTGTTTTTTAAACGTACTTTATTATTAAAAGAACATTAATGTCATGGGTAAAATATTTGTTTTATGTTTCAGTTTCAAAAGTTGTATTTGGTACTTTAACCATTCGGAAAAATATGCAGCTGAGTTAGATGTTGGCTTTTATGACTATATAGTGATATAATCGGGTCAGAATATGTTTTGGGGATTCATGTTGTTTTTTTTGCACATCAGAACAAAAGTTCACATTCATGAAGCCACTGAAGAGCATGAAGGTAATGGAGAAAGAAACAGTAACTTTTGAATGTGAAGTGGATGAATGGGAAGCCCAAGTCAAGTGGTTTAAAGAAGGAACTGAAATCAAGAAAGAAAAAAGGTGTGTTTAGAATGTTTTATTTTGTTTGTTTTATGTTTATTTTCCTAGAGTTTCCGTGTTATTTCCCAGTTTCTTTATATTATATATCTTTTGTACCCTAGAATGTTTTCTCTTTTGACCCATGTCAGGATGTATATTCTGGGATTGAATTGTCAGTGAAAATATGCTATATATATGATATGTAACATTGATACTGGACTGTCTTGGTGAGCTAACTGTAGCTCAATGTTATGTTTAAATATCTTGATGCTGATGTGTTTTTTTCTCATTGGCCTGATTTGAATCAAGAAGAATCATTTATTTGCCCAAGTAAGTCATTAAGTAAATCTGTCATTCTTACAGACAGCTGTTAAATAGTATATAAAAGAAATGTTTTAACATAAAATAATGAAAAAGACATATAGATCCTAACTTTGGTGTAGAAAGTGTACTTGCTCAGTTTTAACATGTTCTTTTTTTATATTTTTTTATTCTCCTTTAGTGCTGGGATCATTTTATTGTACTTCTTGCTCCTACAGTGGTTTTGGGAGTTTGTCCAGTTTCAGCTGAATGCTAACTTCCTTTTTGTAGTTCCGGTTGCTTGATGTATCACACTCTGTTTACTTATGGT